TTTCGGGCGCCACTAAGTTGTCTAATATGTGTCCACTCGTTCTCTGAGGTTCAGTTTGCTTATTACTGTTGGTATTTTTTGAGCCATGAACACTAATTTTCTGTGCGGCGCAGCAAACCACTAGGGTAGAGACGCAGTGAGTATAGGTACAGTATCAATTATTCGGAATCACTGACTTCAAAGCTGGCATATGTGACAAGACTTTTCTCTGTCATCCTCTATGGTATCCCACTCAATAAATGCACACTTCCTTACGAATTAGCTCCCAAGCATTTTAGTACACTGGGTCAAACGCCGCCTTGAGATTGACGCGAGCTGCCAAGAAACCAGCAGCAGTTCAAGATAGATTATGTAGGTGAATAAGGCAAGGATCACACTCACGGTTAATTTGTTGGGTGTGAAGTTAGATCGCTGCCTTGAAAATCGGATGCCTTGAAAAACTATTTCATAGCACCTGAAAACCCCCAAAGCCGGACCTCCTCAAAGCCCCGGTTCCCTCCCGCAGCCATAAGATCCTGCGCATTTCGTCCGGCCTCGACGATCTCAACCTCGTTCAGTGGCAGATCGTCGCCGTGACCTTCCTGACCATGGCTGTTCTCTTCTTCTGCGTCTTCAAAGGCATTAAAGTCATGGGGAAAGTAAGTGTGTATATATTTTCCTTTTTTCACTTTTTTTTTTTTTTTTTTTTTTGCGACGGGTGATGTGTATGCGTGTGTGTGTGTGTCTTTATTTCGATTACCTCGAGGACCACGCCCTGTAAGACGATGAAAACCGGCAGTGTTGCTCAGTGTAATGTCGAGTGTAGAGCAATCGCGTTTCCTTCCAGCGAACGAAAAATAACAGTAAAAAGATGAAAGATGATTATAAAAAATAAAAAAAATACATTATTAGATAAGTAAAACTAACGAAACCCCGAATACAAGTATGCATTGCATTTGGCAGTTTCATACTCTTCAAGGTCATATCAAGAACAATTATGCAGTTCGTGTAACCATGGTTGGTAAGCAATTCTAATGAATATATGTCAAAAACATGAAATATATATCTTATACCATATCGTTACTTATCCAGAGAGGGAGAGAGATAGGTAGATAGAGGTAGATGGATAAAGAGAGAGAGAAAAAGAGAGAGAGAAAGAGAGAGAGAGAGAGAGAGAGAGAGAGAGAGAGAGAGAGAGAGAGAGAGAGAGAGAGAGAGAGAGAGAGAGAGAGAGAGAGAGAGAGAGAAAGAGAGAGAGAAAGAGAGAGAGATAATAATTACTATTAGCAATTTGGATTTTGAGCATTGTACAAAAAAATAAAACACCATAGAAATCAGTCAGAAAATAAGATTAAACTGAATAGTATTCTTGCATTGATACTGTTACTATTTTGCTTATTTATACCATTATACCAATACTTTAATATAGGTTTATTTTTGTTACGAACACTTTGATAGACTCTGATATACGTGTTGATAACCCAGTACCACTACTTTGCACCTATAGGTTGTGTGGTTCACGGCAACATTTCCTTTCGTAATGCTGTTTGTCCTTCTGGTCCGTGGGGCTTCTCTCCCGGGAGCCATAGATGGAATCCACTTCTACATCTACCCTGAGTTTGAGAGACTGAAAGAGATGAAGGTGACGTAAAAAGTCTATGGTGAAGTTCGAGGAAGTTATGAACACTAACACTATTCCTGTTGAAAAGAGAACAGCCTTTGTTCATGCGTTATATGAATATTACATTGTGGCGTTCTCACTCAGATGTATACACAGATGAAAACTCATTTCATAGGTTCACGCTGTTGCCTTAAACTTCTAACCAGGTTTGGGCAGCAGCGGCCATGCAGATCTTTTACTCCTTGGGCCCAGGGTGGGGGTCGCTCATCAGCTTCGGTTCCTACAACAAGTTCCACAACCGGTGCACGAGAGACGCGGTCATTGTCCCCGTCTTGAACTGCAGCGCCTCCATTCTTGCAGGATTCGTCGTCTTCTCGGTGCTCGGCTTCATGGCCAAGAGAGCTGGCGTTTCTGTTGAAGAGATTACTGTTGCTGGTAAGGGAGACACTTCAGTGATTACAGAAAATATATCATATGACATGATTACGATTTTAGTAAATATAACTTGTACATATTTCAAGTATCTAGAATAATGAGAAAATCGTAAGAACAACATGAAAATCTTTCCTCAGGCCCGTCTTTGGTGTTTATTGTGTACCCTGAGGCTTTGTCACTGATGCCCTTTGCTCCTCTGTGGTCCGTCTTCTTCTTCCTCACGTTGTTCTTTTTGGGCGTTGACTCGTGTGTAAGTTATGGAGATTTATATTCATTTTAATTTCGTCGCCATTACTCAACTCAAGTACTCTTGAAACACTCAGTTTTGGGTGGCTTATTTAGATATTAGCTCAGTATTACTCTTGTATTATGTTAATAATCAATATATGTTTTCAATAATCAATATATGTTTTCTCCATCTTCTCAATATTCATATAGTTCGCCCATGTAGAGACTTCAGTATTGTGTATCCTGGACGAATATCCGAAGTTACGTGGTCACAGAGGCTGGGTCACTTTCGCCATTTGCTTCATTTCCTTCTTGGTGACAATCCTCTTTGCAACGGATGTAAGTAGGAGGCTTGTAGGCTTTGTAAATCAAATGGAATGATTATGTGTAGTAGCTAGGAAGCATTTACTGAGCATTTATTTGATTATCTTCTTGTGTATTCTGAATAGAAACATACATAATTTTCGCTTTTTGAGGTCTTAGTAAAATTTACACACACACACACACACACACACACACACACACACACACACACACACACACACACACACACACACACACACACACACACACACACATATATATATATATATATATATATATATATATATACATAAATGTATATATATATATATATATATATATATATATATATATATATATATACATATAAATATACATATATATATAGTACATATATACACACACACACACACACACACACACATATATATATACATATATATATATATATATATATATATATATATATATATATATATATATATATATATATATATATATATATGTGTGGTGTGTGTGTGTGTGTGTGTGTGTGTGTGTGTGTGTGTGTGTGTGTGTGTGTGTGTGTGTGTGTGTCTGTGTGTGTTACTTATCCTATCAAGTGTTTTAATCCCGTGTTCCAGGGTGGGATGTACTGGCTTACGCTGGTGGACTGGTACTGTGCGTCGTTCACTGTCATTGTTATTTGTTTCTGCCAGATATGCATATTCAGCTACATCTATGGTAAGAATAAGCCATTTATCTTTATTTGTGAAATGGAAGAGCAACCAGAAGCTTTACGAGTTTGTATATATATATATATATATATATATATATATATATATATATATATATATATATATATATATATATATATATTGTGGATTATGGGTCTGCATTGTTTTTTTGTGATTGTGGTAATACTTTTCTAATCCTGTTATTTTTTGTTGGTATGGTTATCACTATTAACGTTTTTACTATATATTTTTATAAGGTACTGGTCGCATCATACAAGATTTTCAGTTGATGATCGGACGTCGAATTAGCTACGTGTGGTGGATCATTTGGATGGCTGTCACTCCGCCTGTGCTCCTTGTAAGTCCAAAAAGCAGCTCACTGGCACTAACCTCGCGTTCGATATTGATAGAAAAGATGGTTGTTACTCCCCATAAGTAAAAAAAAAAAAAAATGGTTGACACACGTTGTAAATCCAAAAAAGCAACTCATTATTATTAATTTCGTGTCCCTCGTAGATAAAAATGGTTGTCACGATATGCAATTGAAAAAATATACCTGGTTGATGTCTCCCTTCTTCCCTGTAAGCGCAAGAGAGCTGTAACTATCCCTTGTAAATAGACGAAGCTACACGCAGCTAGTATAGCATCCTAATTATCTCATTTTCTTATGTTTTTTTTCACACATACACACACACACATACATGTGTGTGTATGTGTGTGTGTGTGTGTGTGTGTGTGTGTGTGTGTGTGCGCAGCAGTATTTCTCCAAAATTATTAATTATGCTTATATTTTACTGTATTTATAAATTATCCTGCAACACCAGGCAGCATGTAATTCTACCTCGAGATATAAAACCGTAAATGGAGACATCTCTCCCGCTTTGTTACCAGTGCATCCTCGCGAACACAGCGCTCGGTCACTCGGGCGCAGGGTACCGAGGGCACGCCTTCCCGACCTGGGCTCAGAGCATCGGCTGGGTCATGGTCTTCGCATCCATCCTGCTCATTCCGGCCTACTTCCTCTATTACTTCTGTTGTCGAACTGCAGGATCGTTCAGACAGGTGAAGATAGGCATTTATACTAGATGGATGTTATGTTCATCCGGTATTTGGTAGTATTTGGTGAAAAATGATGCAAAATACATTTGATTAAAAGCGTGTAGGAAAAAAGAGGTTTCTGTATGCTAACTACTCTCCGTATTCCTGATTCTCTCATTATAACTTCAATTACGTTATTTCTCTCTTTCTCTCTTTCTAGCGGATCACGACCTGCCTGTCTCCATCTCCTGCTTGGGGTCCGGGCCAGGAAAGACACAGGCAAGAGTGGCACCAATACCGCCTCAAACACCCGCTGCGTCACCGGCTCATTCATCCGGACCTTTGTGCTACGGAGACCAGTACCTCGCCGGATGATGTTTTGCTGAATACTTTCTAAACAGAACTTTTGATATCGTTGGATTTAGCCCAAATGGCAAACCCTTTCATCCACATGCACATTCGAATGCACCTTCCTAATGTCTTACCTACAGAAATCAAAACTTCTTTTTTGACATACATACATTAACTTTGAGCTTAGATTATTCACCTTTTTGACTTACTGTCGATATATAGGTTTCTATTAAAATGTGATTGTTGCAGGAATTGCTTTCATTGCCCCTTTTTACTCTGTATAGATAATATCATCTACGAAGAGAGAGAGAGAAAGAGAGAGGGAGAGAGAGAAAGAGAAAGAGAAAAAGAGAAAGAGAGAGAGAGAGAGAGAGAGAGAGAGAGAGAGAGAGAGAGAGAGAGAGAGAGAGAGAGAGAGAGAGAGAGAGAGAGAGAGATACAGAGAGTTGTTGGGGGGAAGGGAGCGAGATATATTAGATCCACAGTAACCGATAACACTAGCATACTATTAAGGAATAGTCTGGCATTTCTTTCGGAAGTGGAATTCTGTTCTTGATAGAGATAGAATGATATAAGAAACAAGACCATTTTTGCGTGATTGGAGTCGTATTTTCGTTTAGTAAAGAAATGCCTATTTTTACTTTTTACTAGAGAGAGAGAGAGAGAGAGAGAGAGAGAGAGAGAGAGAGAGAGAGAGAGAGAGAGAGAGAGAGAGAGAGAGAGAGAGAGAGACCTACTCTGCCTTCGAGTCGTCGTCTCCGTTTGCTAATATCCCACAGACTGAGACGTTACGTTAAAAAGGTTTGTGGTTTTTATAAAACATTATCCCCCACATCATACATGAATGAGAATGAATATCTACGTAGTGAAAGAAATGTATTTGACCTGTTTCGATTATATTTTCATCAGAAATACATCTTACCTGTCAAATACATTTCTTGCACTGTGAAGATATTTATTTTCATTCATACCTTTTCTACCTTTATTGCATGATAAAGAAGAGGATATAAATTAAAAAGGTATACAAAAGACGTCCAGGTGTACAGGTATGAATGAAAATGAGTACCTTCACAAAGCAAGAGTTGTATTTGATGCCAAAGTTTATATTTTTATTTTTTAGCATGATAGTTATAAGTTCTTTTCTCATTCTCATCCATGTCATTTCTTTCTTACAAAGCCTTACATATACATTCCTATCAAAGAGGTCTTTGATTGCTATAAATGTTTATTACATTTATATATCATTAGTTATATATATATATATATATATATATATATATATATATATATATATATATATATATATGTTAATTAATTAATTAATTAATATGCACATACACATATGTATATAAATGTGTGTGTGTGTGCATCAATATCTATATCTATATATCTATATCTATATATATTTCTATATCTATCTACCCATCTATCTATTCATCTACATTCATCTATATATCTATCTATCTATCTATATCTATCTATCTATCTATATATGAGTGTATGTGTGTGTGTGTGTATGTCTGTATGTGTGTGTGGGGGGGATTAAATATACAAATTCACACAAATAATTTATTCACCACAGAACCAACGCTGATAAATCGTAACTTTATAACCATTCTCTGCAACGAATGTCTTCAATCATGACATATACATCTATGTTTTCCAGTTAACCTTTCAATATCAGAACTTATTAAGATTCACTGTCATTGCTCTTTTCTACGAGGTGACGGATGGCTCATTGTGGGCGTCAATCAACGTAGATTTTACTTCCATTTTATAGTTGATTGACATATGACCTTTTCTGGTTCATTATGATCTGTCAATCTGGTTTCGTGGTAAATTTCCTATGTGAATCGATGTACCAGTTTTGCATTTACTGTATGGATGTCCCTACGTATGCATGTATATATATGTATGAAGGAAACATAGATGTGTATGAATATGTATATGTATGAATTTATGTATGAATATTCATATGTATATATAGATACACAGACACACACACACACACACACACACACACACACAGATGCATGTATGTATGTACATATACATGTATACACATATGTATGAATGTATGTATATATGTATATATGAATTTACTAATGAATAAGAAATTAGATAAATATGCATATGTATATATAGACATACATACATTCATATATATGTGGATATATATATATATATATATATATATATATATATATATATATATGTACATATGTATATATATATATATATATATATATATATATATATATATATATATGTGGATATATATATATATATATATATATATATATATATATATATATATATATATATATATATATATGTGTGTGTGTGTGTGTGTGTGTGTGTGTGTGTGTGTGTGTGTGTGTGTGTATGTATATATATATATATATATTTATATATATATATATATATATATATATATATATATATATATATATATATGTATATATATGTAGTTATATATTTTGATATACTTACTTTAATATACATACTTACATACATGTACATATACATACATAGACACACACACACACACACATATGTATATATATATATATATATATATATATATATATATATATATATATATATATGTATATATATATATGTATATATATACATATATAATCATATATATATATATATATATATATATATATATATATATATATATATAAATTTTTTTTTATTATTATTATTATTTTTTTTTTATTTTTTTTATTTTTTTATTTATTTATTTATTTTTTTTAACAGCCATTTATTTCACTGCAGGACATAGGCCTCTCTCAATTCAGTATTGAGAGGTTATATGGCAGTATCACCCTTACCTGATTGAATGCCCTTCTTAATCAACCGCGGTTCGGCGCGGTAACACTTCACCACGGCGGTGACTATCCCTACGACACCTGCGTTTGACTTCTCAAGGCGATATGTCGTTTTCTCGGCTTCGAGCAAGCAGTCAAAGCACAAGTATTTTTACGATCGCCGCGACGGGGAATTGAACTCGGGACCACGAGGGTCGGAGTCCAGTGCTCTAACCACTGAACTATCGCGGCAGTATATATATATATATATATATATATATATATATATATATATATATATAGAGAGAGAGAGAGAGAGAGAGAGAGAGAGAGAGAGAGAGAGAGAGAGAGTGAGAGAGAGAGAGAGAGAGAGAGAGAGAGAGAGAGAGAGAGATAGAGAGACAGCGAGACAGAGAGAGAGAAATATGTATATGCACACACACACACACACACACACACACACACACACGCATTGAGAGAGAGAGAGAGAGAGAGAGAGAGAGAGAGAGAGAGAGAGAGAGAGAGAGAGAGAGAGAGAGAGAGAGAGAGAGAGAGAGAGAGAGAGAGAGAGTTTCTATTTAGAAACGTAGTCTCTAGATAGAACTATAAAGTCATACCCATTTGTCCAAACTGGGTGCGTGTGTTTAGTCATCCTACTGTCCCTCCTATAACAGCGACTCATCAGCCATGGAAAAAATCAAGCCTGTTAATCGAACTAATCACATTTCAACTCAGCTGATCTCAGACCCTGGCGTGTCCAACCTATACTTCAAAAAATCAGAATGTGGTTTAAATCACATAAGTGAATATAAAGCAGGGACATCAGTCACAAATCTATAAAAATAGAAAAAAGAGAGAGACAGGGAGAGAAAAAATAACGGACATGAGATCGTCTGTCTGAATTTGAAACAATACGCTCAACTCTTTACTTATGGGAAGAAATGCAATGCCGTAAGCCATTGCTTCGAAATCCCTCTTCACGACAACATGTACAGGTTGAGCTAACTCGTGTTGTTTCATATTTTTAGAACAGGACTGAATTGGTGTCTAATAGAATAGTGATAGCAGTGATTTATTACTTTTGACTAGGCTGTTTAACGCTGTTTTGTAATCATCCAGTTTTTTAACATTTTAATTATTGTATTTCAATCTCTTTTGAATTTTATCTACATGCCAGTAGTTGCTATGGTAAAAGCATTTAGAGACAGATATTTGTTTACTTTGTATTTCACATACTATTGTATTTCGTAGCCTCATCTCGTATATAATGAAATACTGATCAGATAATAGGAAAAACTATTTAATCTGCAAATATACTTTGCATTATCAAGTACACTCACAAAGTAATTCCATTTCCGCAGTGCAATGCTTCGGCGATCGGTCGTGCTACTGATCGGACTGAATGCGGTGGTAGCAAGCCTAGGACCACGGCGCCAGGCATCAGTTTGGGATGTGCAGGTGCCTTTTCCTCTCGAGTTTGGTGAAATATCTTTTTGGATTAATATTAAATTTGGGTATACGTGCAAACTCACTCTCATTCACACGCTACCCAACCCTTTTCACGTGGAAAAAAGTCCTCTCTTATTTTATTGATATGCAGCAATCTCTATCACTGTGGATCCCAACCTATGGAACATGGAGGCCTCAGAGGTGGGAGATCAAAATCTAGGTGGCGGATAATATAGGCCTATTTGTTTAAGGTTAATCAGTGTTCACATTAAAAATATGCTATGGAGACATGGCTTCAAGAGATATTGTATTAGAAATAAGCAGCTAAAGCTTAATAAGTCTTCTTAGCCCCCACCCCCGCAAAATAAATAGTGCCGGGGGTCGTCGGAGGCTTAAAAAAGTTGTCGCGGGTGTAAAAGAAGAGTTAGGAACCTATTGTATACGGCCTCCTCTAACTCCTTGGTACTGATCCCAGGCAAAATCGGCATCGAAGGCGCTCGAATGGCTGGTGGAAAACCAGTTTGGCGATTGCTCGTTTGCCATTCTTGCGACCGACGATTCCTTTTCCGCGGACGTCACCCTCCGCCTTGTCGACCTCATGGTGGAGCGCCGGCTACTGTTCCAGGTAGGCGTGTCTTTTGGCAATGCAGATCATGGTTATAGAAGGAGGAGGGTGGGTAGGAAAGGATGGGGATGGTAGATAAATAGTCGCAACGAGACATGGTATATGGTATATTCTGCCTGCTTTCTATTCAAAATGTGTTAGTCACGTCTCCATGATTGTGCAGTGTTACTCTTCAGATGAATGAAAGGGGAAGCTTATTTGTAGAGGATAAAATGATTTTTTTTTCTAAATTGACACAGGTTTCCATAAAGCATAGCGCAGACATTCAGCTAACAAATAATCATATTTCACAGTCAAAGGCGCCTCCCTCGAAATTTTGAGTACGAAACTGTAATAACAAGCAAGCAGCCATAAATGTTTTAGACACTGTTTCGTTTACACAGGTGTCAGTGATGGCGTTCGGTGGTCCAGGTTGGAAACCGCTGTGGAGGGCGACGAATTGTGATATCTACATCATTATTACTCAGGTAGGCTTTACCGGCTTTACCTCTCTCTCTCTCTCTCTCTCTCTCTCTCTCGCTCTCTCTCTGTCTGTCTTCTCTCTCTCTCTCTCTCTCTCTCTCTCTCTCTCTCTCTCTCACTCTCTCTCTCCATCATTCTTTCCTATCACTTCATGTTTACCGTTTTGTCTAGTTACACTAATCTCCATCGTCATAATTCTCTCCCTCACTCTTGTCCGATTTATAAATGCATTATCCACCTCTTTTTTCCTTTAGAAATGGTGCCTTCGCCTGTTCTATACATTGCCACTCGAAACAAATATAAACATTGGCTACACAGAGAGTAACATATAAATGAAGGTATGGTGATCATTGAACACTGACAACATACTTAGACACTAAAATTATAGTCTTGGATATTATATCACATTAGGAAATCTATCAGATAAAAGAAAAAAAAGACAAGCATACCAACGTCAAGAAAACTCACCAGATATGAAACCAAATATAAAAAATCAAACCATTCTTGCTCACCGAATATTTCTTGGATAAACAAAGGCTCTTTCGAATTCGCAGGACCTACTCATGCTTAAGGACTTTCTGGACGCAGACGAAGACGCTTGGGACTGGCAGGGTCGTTATGTCTTCCTGTCTCAGTCCAGTAAGTCTGATCTTCAGCGCATAGCAGTTATGTACAAGCTTCAAAAGACTGTTGATGTCTTATTTTTCGTGTGAGTTTGTCGTTCGGTCGTGTTTCTGTATTTGTTTTTTTACATTATGATTATATGACTCTATAAAAGATCTGGTTATTCATACATATCGGTATCTATATTCATATCACTATCTGTATCTGAATATGTCCATTAGTCTGTGTTTGTGTATATGTACCTACGAATCTAACAAAACGTAAATATAGAAATATCCACATGAATTCAACTATTGTTTGTCAGTTATTTTTCACACCAAAAAGAAAATATGTCTACTTCTCGTTACCAGTCCCGGTCGCACTGAGAACGAACTTACATTGTACACGCACCAGATGTATACTGAAGAAACCATCAAGTTCCTAAACGTATGGAGAGACGGAGAACCAGTTACCCTCGTTGATGTGTTTCCTGATAAGGTAAAAAAAGGAGGGGGGGGGTGATTGAAAAGCTTAGAAACCAAAACTAAGAGTGAAAAGAACATGATAATATATTGAATTAATGAATTCCTTTGTTAATTACAGTTCATTTTCACAGTTACGCGACCTCAAGGGCCGAGAACTGCGTGTGTTTACATTCAACCACGCCCCCTCCGTTTTCTCCGACGTGGATCAAGACGGCTTCTTGCATAACGTGTCGGGTATCGATATCAGGGTGAGGTCTTTAGGTAGAAAGTACGGTGTAAAGATTGTGATGCCATTTTCTTTGAGTCCAATGTCAAAATTGATATAAACATTAATTCATTCTGTTTCTGCCTGCAAGTGTGTCTCTTTCTTTCTTTCTTTCTTCCTCACTCACTCTCTTGCTCTCTTACTCTCTCTCTCTCTCTCTCTCTCTAACAAACACACGCCACTGATCTTAAAAAGGCTGGAATGAGCAACCCATTCTTCTCCTAAAATTCTTTAAGTCAGCGAAGTTTGGTGGTCGCTATCTTTAGGGCTGCTAAAAACATATTTACTGTATTCGCTGTCACGATACCAAGTTGAAATGTCTATGACTATTTTAACCACACATGCTAGATGCATGTACCCTACAAGACCTAAAGTTCTACCCACATCTAGCAACACTGTCTGTCTTGTTTCTGTTATCCATCAATCACAATAGTTTGGAATCGGGTTTGGAAATAAGAGTTATAGTTTCAGGGTATGCTAGGGTTAATATCCATCCAAAAATCTTTACAACTTTGGTAGAAAATCCACCATGCACAAAGTAGATTTACTTAAAGATAAAATAACATTTTCGAAATCCTTTCATCTTCAGCTGTGGATGTAGAAGAGAGGAAGGTATATAAAGGGAAAGTCATATAATTCGCGCGCGCGATACAGGTTGTCGTATGTCTCTCCTTCAAGAGACTCCCTGCCTGTTCTCAGACTGCCATACAGCAAGGGAATCAACTCTCTCCGTTGCCCCCTTCACACTCTCACCTTTAAATTCACCTTTCGACAAAAGAACAATCTTGGCCGCAACCTGGCTTACATACATGGTGCCACTACTGTGATGAACAGAATTTTGGTGAGGCCAGTGCTTGCCTCAGCAAGTGTTTTTAAACCCAAGTACGCTGTATCCAAGACGCACATGAACACACCCTTTTCTGCCATCGGTGGGACAGTAGCCGTGGCCTGGTCTTTTTACAACTGCTGTCTATGTTCGCAGACTGATTTAACCTTCCTTGATAAGCAATTTCAACCTTAACGACGGTTTTTCTGTTATGGACATTTTCTTTTCGCACATCTTTACACTTCCCATCGCCCAACCCTCCGACCTGTCTCTGATTTTGTTTACCTTTTCTCACCATCTCACCTGTACCATGCTATTTCTTTCGTTATATACCTTCTTCCCCTTTAAGACCTGAAGAGGAAAAACAGGATTATTTTCGAAACTTCGGTAAACCTAATTTGTGGATAGAGTTTTAGTTTCTACCACTGTATCAAGAAAGTTGACAAACAAAAGTTCATTATCAGAATTGCTTTTACTCTTTCGCACGAAATTCTAAATTTAGCTACTGCACAACACGATAAGAATAGACTTAGTATATTCAGACATATTAAGAGTTCCTTGACAAACTTTTCTTAGCCTAAATATACAAAGAGGTTAGATTAAATTAGGCCTATATTGAAGATTGTAGTTTGTTCTCAAAATTTCTTTCCTCAAACTTTGAAGTCTGATATAGTGTTGGATTATGTAATCTGACATTAAAAGAACTGAGCACTTGCTCATACTGCGACTTGCCCATACCACTTTCAGTGAGAATTTTAACAAGGTTTGGCCTCCTTAACTTTTCGCACATGCCAAGATGGCCACCAATTCGATTGTTTTTTTTCAGTGATACAAATGTTTAGAACAACATAAAAACGCAAATTTCCCATTAGTTTTTGTCTATAGAGAGTATAGGAAAATGGACATTTCAGGTGGTGCAAGCGATAGGAAGAACGCTGAATTTCACACCAGTGTTCGAACATCCGGGACCTGCTCGCTGGGGTACCATCCTGCCCAACGGTACTCACACAGGAATGGTCGGTAAGAAAACATATATAAAACAGTACTCTATTAAAAAATAAAGAAACTAAATTGTACTGTTATGACCAACGTACTTAAATAAGTAACACCATTTCTATATATTGAATCCAAAAAAATCAATATACCACTGATCTCAAAAAAGGACTGGATAGAGCAACCTATTGTTTCCTCCGACCTCGAAGCGGTGGCCCGCGAGATTTTGACTGACGCCATACTTGGGACCACTTTGCCCGCATTTGTGTTGTTGTGCACTAGTCACTTCGCTGATAAAAATGGGAAAAAACGGTACACAGTGCTGCACATTTGGCTGCAATAAACGCAAGAAAAGGAAACGCGATGATTCTATAGATTGGCGGAGTGATAGACGGAGAAACGGAGATAAAGAAGAAATTCCCAAGGACATTTCACTCGTATGTATAAATTTTTCTGTTGGCTTAGGACAATATTTTTTTTATTATTAAAACGATAACATTGTCAACAATTGCAAATCATATGATGTCCCTATTGATCGCTTACCAAATTGGTCTCAACTAAGATGGTGGCCGTTTGTTGTGATTAGCCACACTTTTATGCATGTGTTGCTCGGTTCAGTCTTTTTTTGAGATCAGTGGAGCTTACTGACAGTTGTTTATGGTATGAAACACATCATTACCATGAAGAAAGGTGGGGAATTTGTGTTTTACTTCTGGAAATTATAACATTAAGAATTATAATTACAACAAATTATAACATGATGCAAAGGGGAGGGATTTAGCTCGGCATTTACCAACTAGAAATTTCATGAGAAAAAGTGTTTCCTGTCTTGAAGTAGCCTAGTTATAGTTCTCTTCTTAAATGTTGACAGTTACTGACACTGAACTCTAACTTTTATATTTGATCATTATTCAAACTCGATTTAATCGATTACCTTCCCACTCAAGTAATCATATTCATATTGATTAAAAAATACTGAGAATATGACATTGTTAAATGTGAAGACACGCCAATGGGACGCAAGAAAAGGTGGGAAAACGATTTAAAGGAATCCTTGCATGAAAACGTGTGCTTTAGTTATTTTTGTGAGTGAATGACTTATCCAGAAGGATACTTTATAAAATAATATCTAATAAGCAGAAAAGTATTACTACTGTCACTCTTATTTCTATTATTATTATTATTATCATCATTATTATTATGCTTCAAGTGTCATTGTTATTATAATAACCATTAATGTTATCACTTTAGCTTCATTACACCATCATCATTATCATAACCATTATGGATATCCTTAATCTCGTAGTTATCACACCCATCATAATAAAAAAGAAATGCTTCTCTCTTTACGCTTATTTCCAGGACGCATAAACAACGACGAGGCGGAGATGGGCGTAGGCAACGTATTCGTGACGGAGGTGAGGGCGCGCTACATCACCTTCAGTATCCCTTACGACTACGAGAGGGCGTGCTTTCTGACGCCGTCTCCGCGCGAACTGCCCCGCTGGATGGCGCTCACCTTCCCCTTCACGCTATACGTCTGGTTGCTGCTTATAGGTCGGGAAGGAGGAGGCTGTTGTACTGTATTGTGTGATAATATATTGGCACCAAGAGTGGTATGTCAGTATGTACGTGGCATGTTCAGTGCGAGTTTAGTTCATTATATTTACACATAGATGGCTCCATGAGTGCTCGGTCACCAATAAGTTCATCACTAGTCCTACCTATCTCACCTGTATACCGTTTTCTTTGATTTTCGGATTTTAAAAAATTATATTGCTATTGGTACTGATAATATTATGGTAATTATGTTATTTATGGTAATTATAGTGTTGGTATCGATATACATAACATTAAAATGAAGGAAAAGAAAAATCCTGAAAACGCAAGGAAAGGCGAAAACAGGTTAGGTGACGTAGCTTACTAATTGATCTTTGGTAGCTGAGCACTAACGGAGCCATGTACGTATGTGTAAAGGCACCTCTCTAAATAAAACTACAATGAACATATTTCTGGCGCCAATAAGTTAAAAATAGCGCTTATATATACATACATATATATTTATATATATATTTATATACATATATATATGTGTGTGTGTGTATGTGTGTGTGTGTGTGTGTGTGTGTGTGTGTGTGTGTGTGTGTGTGTGTGTGTGTGTGTGTGTGCGTGCGTGCGTGCGTGCGTGCGTGTGATTTATGTGTATATATATACATATATATAGGTAGATCTATATATATAGATATATATTTACTATACTTACTATACAGAGAGAGAGAGAGAAAAATATATATATATATATGTATGTATGTGTGTATGCGTGTGTGTGTGTGTGTGTGTGTGTGTGTGTGTGTGTGTGTGTGTGTGTGTGTGTGTGTGTGTGTGTGTGTGTGTGTGTGTGTGTGTGCATGCATGCATGCATGTATATAGCCTAATAGAAACCAGGATCGACTAGCGAGACAGACCGAAGTCCTGCCCAAGTATAAAAACACAGACTTAAATGCCGATTGTCCCTCTTGCCCCGCCCCGTGCGCAGTGACTGTGGCTTCGCTGGTGGTGTTCGTGCCTTTGTTCGGAAAGGTCATGCTACTTGAGGAATTTGCCGGCGACCTTCACACCTTATCAGGGACTTTTCTTTACATCACGGCTCTCTTCTGCAACCAGGCTACTATCCTTCCTTCGCGGACTCCTATGCAGGTGATTTTTTTTTCTTCTTCTTCTTCCTTTGGGATAAGTGATTTTCTGATTATGTGTGTGGTAGATGTATTTGATTATTTCTATGCATATCGGACTAGAACATTTTGGACATTTTTTTTTCTTTCTCTCTCTCCCTCCCTCCATCCCTCCTTCCCTCCCTCCATCCCTCCCTCCCTCCCTCCATCCCTCCCTCCCTCCCTCTCTCCCTCCCTACCTCCCTACCTCTCTCTCTCTCTTCTCTCTCTCACTCTCACTCTCAATCTCAATCTCACTCTCCCTCCCTCCCTCCCTCTCTCCCTCCCTCTCTCCTCTTTCTCTCTCTCTCTCTCCCTCCCTCTCTCACAGCCAAATGAAAAATGTCGATCTAACAAGAACCCCGTTATATATGGCCGTCTCCTCCCCTTCAGGTCATGGCAGCGTTCCTCATCATGAGCGGGTTCCTCACCACCGTGTTCTACTCCTCAAACCTAAAAGCCTTCATGATGGTCAAGGTCGTGGAACAGCCTTACACTTCCATTCAGCAGATCGTCGAGGTGGGATATGCAGGTTCTCGGGGTTACTCTGTCTTTTTTGGTCTTCCTCTCTCTCTCTCTCTCTCTCTCTCTCTCTCTCTCTCTCTCTCTCTCTCTCTCTCTCTCTCTCTCTCTCTCTCTCTCTCTCTCTCTCGCTCTCTCTCTCTCTGTTTCTTTCTCTGTTTAACTGCTTATGCCTATCTGCATATCTAGCTTTTTTATCTCTTGATGTGCGTGAGTATATACACACTGCGAGAGAGAGAGAGAGAGAGAGAGAGAGAGAGAGAGAGAGAGAGAGAGAGAGAGAGAGAGAGAGAGAGAGAGAGAGAGAGAGAGAGCGAAACGTCTACGAAGTATAAGCCCCTTTCTTCCGCCAGAGCGACTACGACGTTGGTGGATTCAGCGACTTCTGGAGAGCCATCTTCGACGAGTCTTCCAACGAGAACGTAAAGAAACTCGGACAAAAGTTCTTCAGCTTCTTTCCCGACATATATCCTCATCTCGCGTACGTCAGTCTATATGACAGTCCTCCCCGGAGATCCGTTTTTCAACAAACCGATGCAGAAAAAAAACAATATATGCAATTGTTCTTTCCCCAAGATTCGATTTACAACACACCGATACAGAAAAAACTAGCAAATGTGAACAATGCCTTAAACAAAATTCTCCTTCAGGCGCGTCGCTTCTCGGAAGGTAGTGCTGCTGGAGAACACTCAACACCTGACTTACCTGCAGGAGTCCTACCTGACGAACCGCATAGGGGAGTCCCCGGTCAGGCTCATGCTGGAGGAATGCATCAATCCTTTTGGCATCGGCGCTCTCCTCAGGAGGAACTCCCCGCTCAAACACAATGTTGATATGGTCTGTAGTTGCGCGTTGTTTGTCGTTCCTTCAATTTATTTTCTGTTATTTAAGAGAGGGTACATCGGACATTTCTCTTAGTCGTCCCATGGAAATGAAGAAGAAGAAAATTGGAAAGGTGACAAATTAATGAGATACTGAATGTGGATTATGACAAAAAGTCACACCTCAATTTGGAATGGTGTCGCTAAATAATGCCTTTCTCATTCCAAACAGGCTATTCTGCGCATGC